ATATCTAATAAAACTATACCATCGTAAGGTGACATTCTCAAAGATCTTTACAAGATGGTAACGTTGTGGGGATCAAAAAATGACTGCTGGGATTGTGCGGGGAACTCTTTTTTTGTGTAAGGGCTTATTGGTTTATTTTGATCAGCTTCTCTCCTTTCTCAAGTCCAACTCTATCAAGGCTCTCTTTTAAGATATCTGGATTGGGTGAATATTTGCATTTTCTTGGGGTTTATCAGTTTTGAATCACTAATGTTGAACTATTTGCAAGAAGATTTGCTATAGGTGCTCCACTGGGTGATTTCTCTTGGTTTTCATATTGTGATATCAACGTTACTTTCTTTTTGTACTCATAGCATAATGGATTGTTTTGCTTTGCTTTGTCTTCATTAAATTGCAAATGGAATTTCGACTTATATGACTTGGTATGCAATGTCATTTGGGCTTTTTTTTTTAAACTCAAAGTCTACGAATAATTTAAGAAAAATTACCAAAAATCTTGGAACAAATGTAAGAGCGAACTCTCAAGAAGCTGAACTTCACATATAATTTCTATCTCTTCATTATTAACATTAACAATTAACAAATCGTATAATGTCACATGCAGGCATAAATGTTGGGCTATATACATACAAAAGAACATCCATAAAAGTTTAGTTTCATGTTGAGAACTAGAACCTAATCATAATATTAATTTTTAAACACAAACACAAAAGTTGATGATCATAACAAAATCTTATTATGTTTTTTTCAGTAGCAACCCATTCACAAAGCAGTAGGAGCACAAGACCACTCACACATCCAGTTAAGTTTCATTATCGTCAGTGGCAATAGTTTCAAAGGAAGGTCCAGCAGAGCACAATTAAATATATGATTTCCTTGCCTAGTACTCTCTAATTCCCTATTTTGTATGTGCCTAGAGAATTCAAAATAAATGTCAATAAAGAGTTAGATTATGCTCCTAAGTCTCTAGTGGATCTAAGACACATAGTATAGGCGTAGTCACTGTTATTAAGGTAGTGAAAAAGGAGAAATGGTGGAAACTTGAAAAGTTTAAGGGCTTTAAGATGTTTTTATTTTGATATTTTAATATTATTAAGTCTTCAGCCTTTTGCCTCCTCTTCTCGCTCGACACTTTAAGTTGAAATCAATGTTGTCTTTTGCAACCTTTCTTTCTTGCAATTATGGAATGAAATTCAATTTGCCATTGAGTGCCATTATTACCTTATTTCGATCTTCAATCCATAGCTTAAGAGCATAAGGCTTGCAGAGTGCTTGCCCTTGTGGTATTCTAGATAGAGCTATGCAATTTATAGAAGAATCTCATCATTCAGAGGGTAATGATAAAATTGGTTCTTGCCCTTCATTTATAATATGATAATCTAATATAGGATATGAAAAAGAATGGTATAAGTTCAAAAACATGAGTTCAAATGGTATGAGACTTGAAGTCAAAATTTATTGATGTTAATTTGAGGCAGCCTGTAGAAAAGTCCTGCAGAAGTATTGTTACACAAACATGTGATTTTAGTTGCATAAGTATTATAACAATAACATGGATAAGTTTATTGAAAATAGAATCAATGAAATGCCTATGAACATTTTCTCTCCTTGATGAACTTCCACCTTTCTGACATCAAGAAAAAGATGTCTTATATCTGCATCACATGAAAGTCCATTGATCAGTGGTTTTCCTGGTTTTTGTTGAACTCTTTTGTGGTACAAAGGTGCTTTCAGGTATTGAGGAGGAGGCCACCATAACGCCTCTTGCCCCTCTTTCTCATTATAAAATCTTCACTTGTGTTCCATCCAGGATAGCTTGTTTTTTGAAGGGGCACTATGCTCTTATCTATTTTATCCTTAGTTTCTTACTCAATTTGCTCTTTTCATTTTAGTTTATAGGAGCAACAATGGGGTCATCAGAACTACAGGTACAAACTGACAATGGGCTAATCAGTTTGCCAAGCAATGTCTGTGGCGTTATAGTGGAATATCTTCCCGGGGGTGCACTAAAATCTTGATAAAAAATAGGAGAAGGAAGTTAACTTTAATGATTGTCATCCAATCTTGCAAGAGGGTAATTTTCCTTCACAACTCCTCCTCCTCCTCTTCTGGACAATTGTGGTTCAGCAGTTTGATAGCAACATCTGGCTTACAATGTTCTCACATAACCATGGAAATAAAATTCGTTTGATTTTTCAAAGGTGTTGAGCTTATAAAAGTTTTAAAATTTGCATATGAAAATTTTATCTGTAGTTACTTACATGTATGAAATCACTGTTAGATTTTGTAATGCAACTATAATACATGGATGTGTCTCTTTTGCAATTTAGCACCACATTATTACTTCCCCTGGCAAGGTCTTCATTAAAGAATGTGATAAAAAACACTTTGATAACTTCACATCAGTTATTTCCAAAATGGTGGCCTTAATGTGGAGCAAGTAACATTGACAAAAAGAAAAGAAAGTTATAAGATGTTTTCTTATAAAAAATTTGATAAAAGAGGGAGATTGTGTAATTGACTATTCACATATTTTCCAAATGTGTTGGTGTCATACGAGTGTCAAATGGCAAGCCCTATAACAGGATATGTGATGTATACAGTTTTGGCATCTGTTTATGGGAGACATATTATTGTGACAAGCCATACCCTGACCCAAGTTTTTCAGAGGTTACTATAGTCGTTGTTCGTTTGGTAACCTATCTTCTCTGTTCAAATTGATTATCCCTCTTGGGCAATATGTGGTTTTTGATATAGTTTGATAATGCTATTTTCTTGATTAAGAATCAAAGAATCTGAGACCGCAGATACCAAGATGTTGCCCAAGTTCTCTGGCAAATGTAATGAAGAGATGGTGGGATGACAATCTTGAAATGTGATTGGAGATGGATGAGGTGGTTTCCTGACGCAACAAAAAGTGGAGGGGGGATCCACCTTGATCAATGGCAAGGTTGTCATTGTTTCCACAAGTCAGAGGACCATGATCCATAGTTTTTCAACGAACGATTAGTTGGTTGTGTATAGTGATTTTTATGTTCTTAGAATCAATATGTATCCATGGTGAGAACAAAAAATAGATTCAGAACATTAAACTACAAAATAACCTGCACCTTTTTTATTTGTCTTTATACTCTTCCAACACTTCACTAAATTATTATGATATAAGACTTTGAATGGCTTATTTAATACTTTACTAATGAAATAAGACGTAAACCATTGTAAGTTCCTCTTTACATGTAATTAATTTGGTTAAATGCAGATAATTAAGTCTACATACAAAAGGCCTAAAATAATGATTCATGATAAAAGTAACCAAGCATCTTCAAAAATGATCAAATGTTATATTTCAAAAGATATTGAGAACATTGAAAATGAATTATAAATCTTCTTTGTGTTATACCCTACATTATTTATTTGCTTAAATTCTTTGCTTATGGGTTGTACTTTTCCATCAAAATTAGTTATGATTATATCATTTACATTTATGATTTGTTTAATTGGCTGTAGATTAATGCATTCCAACTTATAAAAACCACATGCTTAGTAAAAAAAAAAAAAGGAAACTAAAGGACACATCAACCTGTTGATTTCAAATATATAGTATATCATAATAAAGATGCTTTACGATATAACTTATCCTATAAAAGGCAATTTTAAGAACACATGTAAAAGTGGGACACTATTAAGTACTAATATATTAATTCAAGAATTGGGGATGGGTGTGGAGGGAGTAGGTAGGAAAAAGGTGAAATGAAACCTACTGTCCAAACAAAATAACTAAAAGAAGAATCACATTCGAAGGTTATTCAACAAAATTATTTATAAATAAAAATTAATAAAAAATATATTGTAATTAAAGTGAGAACATGATTTATTTTTTTTTAAATATAACATGTTATTAGTCATTACTTGTAAATAATTTTTTTAAAAAGTTCTTGGATATATATATTTTTTTAATTAAAATGACTAGGACACTGACCACGTCAAACGTGCGTACGTATGGAATATATTGCTGAAGTAATAGGAGAGGTTGTTGGCGACAAAAATATGAAATTAAAGTTGATGACTTACAAAGCCGTGTTGGGTTGTTGGGTTCAATGGAAGCAAGCACGGTGAGGAGAAGCCAACAAAGAAAAACAGTGGGAGAGACCCCTCTTTCCAGATTATTACAGGCGAATCTTCAAATCCACCAGATTCAGAGCGGGACCTGGCCCCCTTTAAGATCAGATCACACCAGAACCCGAGTGGGATCTCCCGTACAGGAGGATCAATCAGATCAACACTGAGCCCCACGCTCAGATGTCACAACATCACTGCTCTCCAATTTTGCAACACCAGTTGGAAATCGAACCTTGGTCCTTTTCCTTTCCCCTTAATGCGTTTCCCCTGTTCCACATCCGGCCACTGATGTCTTTGTTTGTTATAACTATAATGATTGGTGAAGGGATAAATTTGTTAAATAATTTTATAATTAAAATTATTTTTATTTAAAAAAATTCACTTCCATAAACCCATCTCATTTTTATGAAATTTAATTCAATCTATTTTAAAAAATTTTATTTTCACATGAAAATTTATTTCATGCATATCAAATAAAAAAAATGTGAATTATAATTTTATTTTTATTTCTATGTCTTCATTTCCAGCATACCAAATGGGATATAAGTTTTTAAAAAATGTGCACAAACCCAATTAAAACGCACCGTGCCTAAACAAATGGTCAGATAATGCAAATATCCCACCAGTCCTGCAAGGAAAATTAACAAATGTTATATATTGGGCACAAGTAAAAATATAGTGAAACGGGTCTAACCAAGAGGTGAAACTGAAACATGTATATATATAACTTAAAATAAGTGACTCGCAAAATCTGATTGGAAAGAATGACAGTTAGGTCACTAATAAAAAATTTTATTAAATAAATCATAAATAACAAGTATCATTAATTCAATATTTTAAAACATAACTGTCATTTTCCTTGAATAAAAAAGTTGAAAAGAAAGCTCAGGCGCACAAGATTTCATGCGCGGGATCAGGAGAGCGTGATTAAACCTCAACCACACAGTATGTGCAAGAACTCATCATGGCTCTCAAGATGCACCAACCGGGAATCAAACCCGGGTCTGTACCGTGGCAGGGTACTGTTCTACCACGAGACCACTGGTGCTTGATGTGCATGAGATGATGTGAGTTGTTAATACAAATTAGGATATTGGTGTTATTATTCGATATTTGCGTGTGTGAACTTAAATTTTGTTTCAATTGACACGGGTGATGGCTGCGAGGGTATCCTTAATTTCTTCTGTTGCAAATCAATTTTAATTTCAATTTCATTTTATTTTTTTGCTTTTGTTGCATTTCAATTTAACTTCCCATCATCATCGTCATAAATGCGTTGCTCATGCTTACCGCAAATTGTAGAAGTGGTGAAAGGTTTAGACACCTGTTTTGCTTTCAGCCGCTTCATGTGCACCTTCGCGAAAAGACAACTCTAAACTTGCCTTGCATTGCTTTTCCAAACAAATCTTTTCTTTTCCTTTCGTGGACTAACTTTGTAGTTTGACTGAGTCTTCTATCATTATTTTACTGCTACTTAACTATTATCTCAATTTAGTTCCTCCGGCTTCTAAACCATTTTATGGATCGAGACATCATAAATACGATGAGCTGTGTTTGATCATTGGTGTGTTGAGGGCAGTGTTAATCATCTGGCAAGATAAATGCATTGCGATCAGTTGATTAATTGACGTGTCAAATCAATCAGTGAATGAATTGAACAAACATGGTGGCATAAAAAAAAAAAACGATTACATGCACATTGATATAAAATAAAGCAAATGAACATTATTTTTGAAATTTGAAGTTGACACATTTTCTAATCTTATTCAAAAAAATAGAGACAAAATATATTGAATAATAGATATAAAAACATAATAAACTCTGTCATATATATATATATATATATATATTAAAGAAAGAGAACTCCATTATTTTTTAAAACCATAATTATTCGACCGCAATGAAAGAAATAGGGAAAAAAATAGTTAAGGCTAGCTCTTTACTTGAGGAAATTATCATTTTTTTTTTTCAGGGAAAACTCAATTACAACTTCCAGCTAGAACAAAGTGCATGTTCCATTAGTACTGGAGCTATTAATATCCTTGAAGTATTATCTGCAGAAGATAAAAAATATAACTTTAAGATCTTTAATTACTTGTCCGTTTCACAAACAAGAGTTAAAAATTGAACATCCAACCATTTGTTTAGAATTTAATTAGGTCCCCTCGATTGAGGGATATTAACCATTAGATTGTGATATAAGAGATTTGAGGGTGGAGTTACAATTTCTTCTTAAAAAAATTAAATAGAGGCTTTATTTTTGTTTTAAGAGAACCTCCAATTGATCTGTTTATTTAAGTAATGAGAGATTCTCACACTCATGTCAAAATGAATCGATAAAAATGCATATTTTAATTCTAAACAACTATAATCTATTATTTGACCACTAATTAAATTTTAAAATTCATACTCTACTTAATGAATCTCTAAGTTTTAGCACATGCAAATGAAGGAAAAAATAAATCATAGCTAATGTTATTTTTGGGCTTACTAGTAAATCCATGATAAATTATTTAATATATTAACTATATATCGTACATGTTGATTACGATTAAATTCAAATACATGGAAGGGATTTCACCCTACCTGATGGTAAATAGTATACATCGTACGTTTGGTAATCATGCATACATATTTACCAAATCAACGTTTCCTCTATCATTCAATATAATATTCAATCTAAAGGAAGAAAAAATGGTTTGGTAAATCTGTTTTTTCTTTCCACCATTTTGGGTTCGAAACAAAGACAAGACCTTCAAAGCTTTGCTGGGTATTTGTTCAACCACACTGGAATTCCACGTACAACCCCAGAGCAATCACTGTTAGCATTACCCACGGGTACTCCCTCCACTGTAAAACAATGTTCTGAGACTTTAACCCTAACTGAAACATTTATAACCCCATTTTTCCTGCACTTTCTATCCCACAATCTATAACTCAGAAAATGAACTTGATTTTGCGGCACGTATCCTCCCATGAAATCTGAAACTGGTATTCTCGCCATCCCAATGCTTGTCACACACCCCATTGCACTCTTCTCCTTCACCTCAGCTGTTATGAACCTCGCATGCACTGGCACTTCCATCTCCAGCTTCTCATTCCATTTTGGGTGGCTCCCTCCTTCTGATTCCATCCTCGTCGTCCACGTCTCTCCGGGCCTGCCCGACTCCGGCGACTGGAGGCAGACGAAGACGTTCTTCTTTACTTGCTTGCGGTTGATCCGGAGATCCTCTGCAGATAACACTGTGATCTCTAGCGTGTGTGACATGGTTTAATTTCTCTGGGAAGGTGGAGAAGGAGAATATTATATGGAGGTCTTGGAGCTGTGAGGAGAAGAGGGAGGGAATGGTTTTAATATGGGTTTGGGAAGGGAGGCTTAGGGAAGGGAAAGAGAAAGAGAGAGGTTGTTTCTGTTCAGCGTGGCGGGAAACTTCTGAGAAAAGGAGAACCGTTAAGTGACGGCGTGTGCCTCGGAGGGGAGTTTGGCAGACGTTTTTGAAGGAATCAAACGGTGACAGTTAGAGTTGACGGTGGAAGATACCTGGAAATTTCGTTCCTGACACGGAGGAATTTTCAAATCTGAGCCGGGAATTCCTGTTCATTTTCGTAGCTACCAAACTCCACTGGAACATTCAAGGTGGGGAGACGTGGGTCCCACCCTCACATTATGAAGGCAGGAGGGATTAGGATGAATTGAGCCCCGTTTCCATGATCCCGAAGATCAGCAATATGTGCTTATTGACAGGATGAGATTTGAACTTAAAAATTTTAATTTAAATAGTGCAAATTTAAAATATTATCATGTATTAAATTTATTAAAATAAAAATTATAAAATAATTTTAATAAATTTTTTATTTATAAATTTGGCCTATATTTAATTTAAAGGGTTTAATATTAAAATTTTTATGATTAATGTATATTGATAGTCAGATATCAATATACATTAATCATAAAAATTTTAATATTAAATTAAATTCTTTAAATTAAATTTAGACCATCTTAAAAATAAAAAAATTATTAAATTTATTTTATTATTTTTATTTTAATAAATATAATATATAATAATATAATAATAATATTTTAAACCTGAACCATTTCAAATTCCATATCAATTTCGAATGAATCCTCACCAAGAAAGTATCCTGGTACAAAATTCAGTGCCTACCAAATTGTATGTTTTAACTTTCAAGTCAGAAATGCATATTTTTAATAATTTAATTTTTATGCTATTTTATTGAAATCGTTCTAAGCCATTTAACTTTCATTTTTTATATATATATATATATATATAGAGCTAAAAAAGATATTAAAATATGATAGAATAAAAAATTCTAAAATTTCAACAATCTATGCTACTAGTCGTCGATCAGAATTATCCAAATTATTTAGTGAACAATTTTTAGATGCATGCTGTATGTAGATTATACAAAGTCAAGTGGAATAAATTAGGACCTACTTCAGACCAAGTCAACACCCTTGTTTATGGGGAACTTGGAGTCGAAGGCTTCTCTGCAAGCTTGTGATGGATGAAAAGAGAAAGAGAGTCTTATTATTGCTCCTTTCCCTTTAATTATATAAAGCGTAAATTGTATAATATAGCATATGGTAGATTTATGACAAAAGTAGTATGTCTATTGGCAAATAAAATCTAGAAAACATTATTAATAAATCTCTAATTAGGAACAAAATTGTGCTACAGGACCAAAGAACTAGAATGCTAGCAGAGAGGCTTGAGATTTTATAACTAGCTATATGCTTGCACTCTCAATCTATATGCTTGCACTGTTGTCATTTTGTCCTCCGGCACAAATTTAATTTCAATGAGAGACTTACTAGCAATTTGCCTGAAATGAATGTCACTTCAAATTGTTTATTTTATTATATATCATGCAAAAACCTGGTCTATTCTTGTTGATATGATAACCGGTAAAATCTGATTGGCTTAGTTCTAAACAAGCACTTACTTTAGTTTTTAGGGGTAATGACAAACAAGAAACCACGCAATTATTTAATTTCAAATAAGAACCTTGCTTTTTAACTAAATAATCCTCACTAGTGCAAAAATTATTTTTCACTACAGTTAAAATATATTTTTAACGACGGAAGATGGTATGTTGTAAAAGATTTTGTGATAGTAAATAGACATTTTTCATTACAGGTCAAAAGAAACTATGACAAAATATAATATTTTTTGCCACAGGTGCCATCTGACCTATGGCAAAAAATATAGTGGTAAAAAATATAATTTTTCACCATAGGTGGTCACGGACCTGTGGTGACAAACATGTTGACAAAAAATGGTATTTTTTGCCACAAGTGGGTTCGGACCTGTGGCGAAAAATTATTTTAGAGATCATTTATGGTCACAGTTCTATTAACAATTGTCGCCATAAATGACTTTTTATCACAGTTATTGTAACAACTGTGGTCGTAAATATTATATATATTTTTTTACTCGTACACTTATATCTATATATATCTCTTACTCACAAAACCTGCATTAATTAAGAAACAGCAACTCTAAAGACCAATACAAATATATCTGGTGAACACATATGAACTAAATTTACATTTTCAATATAAAGTATCTAAAAAGTTTCTATCTAACTACAGTTTATCATTACCTATTCCAAAAAAGCAAGATCTTATCTAACTACGGCATCATAACAATTTATAAAGCGAGATCTTTAAGACACTAAATCCTTCAATCCTATCAATTTAATATTACCAAAAGGCCAATTTCAACAAATTTTAACAAATATCAATTATTCAACTTCAAATTAATTATACTAAACATAAAGAAATTAAAATCATAGAAATTTTAAAAAAATTGACAACATAACAACTTATAAATTGAGATTTTTTTCGGGTACTAAACCCTCAATTTCATCAATTTAAGTAAACCACGATTGGTATTTTAATAATTATCAACTCTGATCAATAATTAATAGTATAATTTATGATAATGGGGTTCACAATTCATCTTAACAAACAAGCTTAAAAAGAAATTAATTATACTAAACACAAAAAAATTAATATCATGAAAATTTTAAAAAAAATCGACTGCATAACAACTTATAAATTGAGATTTTTTGAGCATCAAACCCTCAATTTGATCAATTTAAGTAAATTTTAATTAAAATTTTAATAATTATCAACTCTAATCAACAATCAATAATATAATTCTTTAAAGAAAAAAATTAAAAAAAGCTTAAAAAATAACAAGAGGTGAGCTATAATAAAAAAACAAACTAATTAAGTAGTAAATAATAATTAGTAACAATTAAAATTTATTCCAACAAATAAACTTAAAAAGAAAAAAATTGTATGAAAAGGAAATAAAAAAATTAGAAGCTAAAAATAATTAAGTACAAAAAAGTAGCTAAAAAATTGCCAAAAAAAACCTTATGCGATGGAATCTAGAAGAAACAGCAGCTGCTGGCGGTGGCGGCAACTAGAGAGGTGAAGAGACGAGCTGTGGGAAATGCAATTGGAGGCGAGCTGTGGGAAAGGCAGCTGGAGCGATGGCAGCTAGAACCTACTGGTGGAGCTGGAGAAAAGGCAGAGGTAAGGGAAAATGAGCTAAGAGACAACGGTAGTGACGGCAGCATAGAAGAAGGGTACAGCTAAGGGAAACAAGTTGAGGGGAATGAAGTTATAAGTAAAATCAAAGACAAAGGCACGGTGCTGAAATGAGCTGTTTGAATTTAAGACATATTAATGTTTGAAATTCAGACATATTAAATATGGCTGTTTTTATTAATAAAGTAATATTTAAGAAAAATTGATTTACGTAAAATAAGAAATACTCAATGAACATTATTTATTAGAATTATATTATTAATTATTAAATTTTATTTTAATTTTTTAAAATTAAATTTTTAATAAATAATTTACTTATTTATGTCTTAATTAATTTAATTTATTATAGTTATTTTTCAAATTAATTACATTTAGAAAATAAACAATTGAGTAATAATATACTTTAACTAATTAATTAAATTATTTACTTTTTTAAAATTAATTAAATTAATTTACTTTAATTAATTACATTTATGGCAATAGTTAATCTTAGGACTGTAACTATAAATGGAATACATAAGTATTTAATTATGAAAAAGCCACTTGCTCATAGATTGCCACAGGTTTTTGAGAAACTATGACGAAAAATGTGACATTAAAATTTTATTTTGCACTAGTACATCGATGACTATGTACCTAAATAATCCACCGGGGGGGACTAATGTCACGATTCCATTATCTATCTTTTTCTCTTGTATATTATTTTTCCAAGCTCCCATTGTTTTCTACTCAAATTTCATTCATTGTATGTCATGTGATTTACACAGCCACACAAGCTTTCATTATTTACCGAATAATGATTCCCTACTTTTTTAAAAAAAGAAGAAGAAGGTAATGGTTATTAAGAATTAATGCTTGGCAATAGCTAAATAGATATGATGTAACCCATCAACTCCAAATGCATATAATTTGTATCCTACTATAGATGTTTCTTTTAAATTTTTTTTTATCATTCATCTCGAACCCCCTTCCTCATTTTATAGTAGAATTTATATAATATATAATATGCTAAAATGAGCTGTTCGTAAAAAACAAACAATTAAAGGCATAGTGTCGCGAGGCGTGTCAGAAATGTAAGGTCTCAAAAGGATGGAAGAACTTGACTTCTAATCAAACACGGGGAACTCGGGCTCCCATACCACAGTTTACGCGGATGTGAGAATGTGAAGTGAAGAACACTAATGTAGATGCAGAAAAATAGAGATGCATTAATTAAAGAAAAAAGGTGGTGGGTTATGCTGGCTGTACAATAAAAAATAAAAACTAAAGCTACATGATAAAAAGAAAAATAAAGTAACAGGCGCAAAGTCTGAGACTGGTAGTTTGTTGATATTGATGATGACTATTGAGAGAGAGCTCCTCTATTTATAGATGATCCTGGCTTGGTGCTCAAGGCTCATGATTGCTACTTTTCTTGAATTTAGGAAGCACTTCTTCCATCATGTTTATTCATCATGAGTGATGGTTTTGACTTAATGGCTAAGATTTCATGAATATTCTTTTTTATATAATTATTTTAAAGCCAATTAAATTGAGTTGGGTTAGGGCCTCTAAATTTACAATTTGGATACAAACAATGCCCTCCGCATATAAATTGGCTAGAGTTTTCGTAGGCCAATTTTATATGGACATATCTTGAAGGATCGACTCATTCTCATTCTGATTAATAGTTGATCTAGTACTTTTCTTGAAAGACACCCTTGTGATTGAGAATTAAGGACCATGTAGTCCAATTTAGGATCAAGTT